TTGAGCAATATGGCAAAGCCACTGGAGATCTTAACATGTGTCATGTGTCATGCAGAAACACGACAGGTCCTTGCCTACTTTGTAAAGAAAGCAGAAGAGGTTATGTGGCACTGCCTGTGAACCCAGGGATGATCCAGGTTGCCTTCTGGGATTTGTAGCAGTCACGCTGGTGTCCTGGATTTGCCACTGTGCACAGCTGCATTTGCTGTCCAAAGCACTTGATGTTGTGTGCAAACTGCAGCTGGGTCATCATCACAGCATCCCTCTCACCGAGGGATTGGCCTTGCTGACATGCTGCTGGGACATTGCACTAGGCTGTCTGCCCTCTGAACATTGGCAGGGCTAAATGTCCTGGTGGGCACGGGGACATGCACAGGTGAGGCCAAGTATCCCCTGGAATACCTTCAGCAGTAACCAAGGAGCCTGCTGTGCTAATGCTTACATGGTGCTTTTCCACATCATCTGAAATCTTCAGAGGCTCTTCATATTTAGGTGCTAGAACAAACACAATTATAAAAACTGCCAAGAAAACCCCAAAACAATGAAGTGGAGGGAGTGAAAACTGCAGAATGTGAACTAGACTCTTTTAGCTGTGGAAAGCTAAAGAAGGAGGAGAAATGGCAAGAAAAATAAATTAATGAGCAGTGAAATTACAAAAAATTAAACACCACTTTGAATACACCAGAAGCTAAAAGAGTGCTAAAAGCACAGTCATCTGCTGAGGTCTGGAATTGGAGAAATGTCATATGTTTCTTTCCTGGAAGAAAAGCTGGAAGGTGGTACCAGTCACAGCAGTAGTGTAATGCTCTCTGTTGTAGCAGTAGCTTGGGAAATTAGCAAATAGCAGCTACTACAGCAGTATATTTTAAAGTTTGCTATTCTGGCTTACTTGCATCCCGAGATTTTAAAAGGCCTGGCTGAGAGCACTCTCTGGGCCATAAATGCTAATTTAAAAATAATTAAAAAAAAAAAAAGCATGCATAATGAGTTAGACTTAAAAAAAATGGTGTGTGTTATTCATAAGCGAGTAGGCCAATTTCAAGTTTAACTGGGCAAATTAAACTAGGCTACCCACAGTCTGATTTTCACTTCCAGTAAAATAATATAATAGCTGATACAGATCAGATTGGTCATGATTTAATGGGGTATTGTAATAGTCAGTCTGTACAGTTTTGTTTTTTTTAATTGTTCTTTTCTAACATAGTATGATTTTCTGATGATGTTGCTATAATTTTACTTTATAAAGTAAGACTGTTGGTAAGTCTAGCATGTTTAATGCACTGAAGTTGTGTGACAAGTCATGGGAATAAATAGGTGTGATGATTCAGTGTGTCACACATGCACTGCTGGAGTGAGTCCAGAGGAGGCAGGGCTGTGAAGATGATCAGAGGGCTGGAGCACCTCTCCTGTGAAGACAGGCTGAGAGACTTGGGATTGTTCAGCCTGGAGATGAGAAGGCTCCAGGGAGACCTGATTGCTGCCTTTCAGTACTTGAAGGGAGCTTTTAAGAAAGCTGGGGACAGACTTTTAGCTGGGCCTGTGGCAAAAGGACAAGGGGAAATGGCTTTAAACGGAAAGAGGGTAGATTTAGATTAGATACTAGAAGAAATTTCGTTACTGTGAGGGTGGTGTGGCAGTGGAACACAGAGAAGGTGTGGCTGCCTCATCCCTGGAAATGTTTAAGGTCAAGTTGGATGGTACTTTGAGCAGCTTGGTCCAGGGATGTTGTCTCTGCAGTGGGATTGGAACTAGATGATCTTTAAGGCCCCTTCCAGCCCAAGCCATTCTATGATTCAATGCCTAAAAGGAAATCTGACTAAATGAAGGGTCCCAGTGACCCTTTGTGGCAAGAAGAGCCTCATTGCTGGGAGTGTAGTACTCTCAGCTGGGAATTTTTGGGGTTTTTGGCTCAGTGCTAATCAAGAGGCAGAAATCGGTCTCTTCTCCCTATTAACAAGTGATAACATGAGAGGAAATGCCTTCAGGTTGCACTAGGGTAAATTTAGATTGGAAATTGCGAAAGAGTTATCAAGCGTTAGAACAAATTGCCCAGGGAAAATAGCTGAGTCCCCAACCCAGGGAGGTATTTAAAAGACATGTTGCAATGGCACTTAGGCATATGGTTTAGTGGTGGACTTGGCAATGCTAAGTTCATGGTTGGACTTGATGATTTTAAAGGTCATTTCCAGCCTAAATGATTCTATGATTTAGTGGTAGACTTGGCAGAGCTAGACTTACGTTGGACACGATGATCTTAAAGGTCATTTGCAGCCTAAATTATTCTCTTGATTCTAAGATTGTTGGTGTCCTGGGGAAAAAAAAAAAAAAGCCCTAAGTTAATTTGGATTATGTTCGTGGGTAACATAAAATCTGGGCAAGTCACAAGTAGTGAAAAGAGGTGAGTTAGTGGTGAACTTGGGGTTGTGTGTGCTGGGTGAGACAGCAAGGAGTTGTGTGACACTCTTAAAGCAGTCACCCACTCTCAGAGCAGGTGGGAGGGCTGGCAGGATGTGTGGTGGCCTGGGAGCTGCTGCAGGAGCAAGGGCTTGGTGGTTCACTGAAAACAGAGCAGCCCCAGCTGAAAACAGAGCCCCAGCTGGGCACGGTGACCAGAAAGTAAAGCAGCACTTGGACACAAACGCAGCGATCCTGAGCAGGGGCAGGGAGGGCGTTATCTCGGTGCAAGGTGCTGCTCCTGCCAGTGTGCTGCACAGGAATGTGAGTGATAAGTTGGAGGGAGTTCAGGGAGGACCAGGAGAGGGGAGGGCTGCATGATGTGCTGTACAGTAAAAACTAGAGCTTCATGTGTAAAGTAAATGAGGTGTTCCGTTCCTCTTTTTTTGGTTCCCCCTTTGTTTGGAGCTATGCAGTAGTTTAATCAGAACTGGAAGCACAGTGACCTTCCTTGGCAGGAGGTCAGACTATGTCATCACAGGGTTTCTCTCACTCTGTAAGACTTCATGGGGCAAGAGCGGGAAAGGAAAAGTCATTTTATCTTCATAAAAAAATGTATGCATCTCTTCCTACTGAGTGATTGGGGAATATGGGTGTTATAACTCCAGGTGTCCTGTCTGCCAGGCTTCCAAAACAGGTGTTTGTTCTGACTGAGAGATCTGCCCCACAGCCAGCATCCACCTTTCCTGTGACAGTGCAGCCCCCACAGCTAACCAGCTCTGGGGCAGCACCTACCTCTTCATGTCTTTTAACATTTTCCCACTCCCCAAGCTTTCTCCCTCTTCAGCTGCTTTACTGCAGACTTTGCAGAAAAGACTTTTTCTTCTCTGAGAAGGGCAGGTAGGGCCTGATTGCAGCACTGGCTGGTGCATGGGTACAGAACTGCAGAGCTTTCCTCTTGCTCCAGAGAACGCAGACAAGGGACTCAGCCTGCCAAAATAATGAGCCCTTCTTTGGCACTACTATCACTTTCCTTCTGAATGGCTGTGGTAGTTCTGAAAGAAAATGTGTCTTGTTTTGGACATCCTGTAAAGGCTTAAAAGTGCATGTGTTTGCATGTGTCTAGGTATACTTAGGCTGGGGCTTTGCTTTCAGACCACTGTGTGAGTATTAAATAACACTTCTTGATAAAGACTTGATAAAGGTCTTTCAGGCTGCACATTGGCATGTGAGAAGTTCGATTGGAAAAACGAATCGTTTGTCCCCTGGCACAAAGAGGAGCCAGAGAGGTTGGGAATGGCATTCCTTCTTCTGGTAAATAGGGCAGAAATGCACACCAGACTTCCGTGGTGTTCAGGCCCGTACAAGCATGTGCGGAATAAGAAAATTCCTGTCTTCAGGGGTTTGGGACATTAGAACATGAATTTAGAAATGCCCTGAGCCAAGTCATGATGGGGATGGGCTCTTCCACCAGTTTCCCTGACAGAAGTGGTCTGATGAGCTGCAGAGGCCCCTCTGTCAGCACTGCAAGTATGCAGCATAACAGAGCGTGTCATTGGGCAGTGGACATGGAATCAGAGGATTTAGGGGGAGCAGCTATGAAATCTGTCTGATCTGGTGTGGTACCTGTGTGCAGACAGTTTGTGTGCCTTAGAGGAAGTCCTAAGATGAATGCAAATGAAGAGATGAGCAGCACTCTAATTTTTTCCTTTTCTCAAGCAGAGATGCTCTTATGCTTAGTGGCCCTTCCAAAAATCTAAATTAAATCCATTCCAAATAATTACCACTTGACATATCTATATTTTCTGTTCAGCACCACCCCATGACGGGAGGGGGAGGGAAGCATTGCTGTTTTGGAGCTTGCTGTCCCTGAACATCATTAAATGATTGATGATTCTGTGATTCTGTGAAGTGCCTCCTGGCTGCTGTGTTGAGCAGAGGGAGAGGCATTTGCACTACGGCAGCCTTGCGTGCCAGAAGGGTGGTGGGGCTCAGCTCTGGCTGCTGCAGAGGAAGATCACGAGCATGATTTGTGCAATCTTGGTGGAGTCCCAGGGGGCACTGTGGGCACTTACCTGTTCATCAGAAGTGTCCAGAGCACACGGAAAGCTCCTTCTGCAGTAGTACACTGTACTCTGTTCCCAGGTGGAGACTGGCATATGTAAGGTTTGTAGACAGATCCTGGTTCAATACCCCAATCTGCATTCTTCTTTCTTGTCCTTTTGCCCCCAAAGACCTGCTCTGAGGCCGTGGTGCTCCATGTTCCCATAACGTATCACACCCATCACTCTTAAATTCCATGTGCAGTTGGAAATCCCGTGTGTGTTTTTAATGGGCTCTGTGAAGCATTCTTCAGATTCTCCATGCCTCAGGTTGCTCTGTGGTGTCTCACGCTCTTCACCTGACCTGCAGCTGAACTGCTCTTCCCTCCCCAGTGCAGGAAGGGGTTTCCACATGCACGTGTGGGTGCTCTGGTGCCAGAAGGGAGCCTGATCTGCTGGCTGCATCCTGGCCTGGGGCGGGGACAAGGCTGTGGTTCCTGGGGGAGCAGGGTTGTCATTTCTCAGCCACTCATATTTCTGCTCCCTTTCTTCATTCTTTTTCAGAACATGAGTGAGAACTTGAAGGACTGTTTGATCCAGACCCAGGCTTCCTTAGGGGAGATGGTGACGATAAAAACAGAGGCCTGCTCTCCACACCGGGACCAGGAGTATGGACAGCCTTGGTATGTGGCCGAGCTTTGGTCTGATGTGCTCTAACCCCTTCTCCCCACCTACCTCCCAGCTTAAAACTGGTTTTGAGGAATATATTTGAGCTGCTTGAAGTTGTTAAAGCTCTTCCTTGTGAGTTCTGCTTTGGGGTGTTTGACAGGAGTGGTCAGCTTTTGGAAGGTTGGGTGGCAAGTTTAGTTATTTCTCTGCTACAGCTGTGGGACTGAAGGAGTTGGTCAGGCCCCATTGCTTCAGCTTCTCTCTGTGTGCAGTCCCAGTATCTTGCTAGGTTAACATCATCCTCCTTGTTCCCTCCTCAGCTCTGGAAGGCCTGACCCACAGTCCATGGAGATGGAACCCAAGAAACTGAAAGGGAAGCGGGATGTAATCATGACCAAGAGCTTTCAGCAAGTGGATTTCTGGTGTAAGTGTCTTGTGAGTGAGGGAAGAGCACCATTCCTGCTTGTGTTGATTTTGGTCTTCCCCTTCAGCTTGGAGCAGGAAGCAGAGGAGAAAAAATAAGCCAGAGACAAATTTGCATTCTCACCTGAAAAGACTGACATGGTTGGTAGGGAAATTGTTGCACAAAATCAGCTTGTCCATGAAGGGGCTAGGCATAAATAGGGAGGTAGGAGGGGAAAGCAAGTAGTAAACATGAAAACAGGCATTGGAAAACCCAATGACTTGAATTCAGAAACTGCAAAGGGAGCATTGGGCAGATGACAGCTCTTTCCCTCATATTCCGGGAAGAAAACTGGTGCCATTTATATTGGCATATCTACAGATTATCAACTGGCAGACCTGCATCTCTGTCTGGACACAGGGCAGGTGCCTGGGATGTTGTCTCTCTCCTATGAGGTTAGGAACCTCTGGGTGCTCTTAGGCACCCAACTTCTCAGGTAGTTTATTTCAAAGAGCCAAGCAAGTTAGTAATTGTTACAAAGTTATTTATTGTAGAAGCACATTAGTCGCAAAAGCAAAGTAAAGCAATGGCAAAAGCAATGGTAAAAGCAATGGCATAAAAAGTAAGTGGCAAAAAGTAATGGCATAAAGTAATGGTAAAATGCAGTGGCAAAATGCAGCAGCTCTCCTTAATGCATGTTCTTATATAGAAACTTCCTAACAAGCTAAGACACAAACTCGGACCACTACTTTTTAATCCGTTAGAATTCCAGTTTCTTAGTACACCAGGCTACGTATACACTACACATATAGTCTGTCGTGTTCTAACTGAGAAACGTAAGCAATATTCTTAACTATAACTTTATTATGTCTGAAACTAGGTTCTTGGAGCTTCCTCGGAAACACTAGTATCTAGGACTATGTTTTTCAACTTTCACTAGAACATGTACTACTGCTCTGGCATCTAAGACCTTTTATTTACTAAAAGCACTTAAAATTTATTCTACTTGCTTACTAACTTTTTCCGTTTACTCACTTGTTCCATCTACTCGCTTGCTCACTTATGCTAAAACCTAAACTTTCACCTTTGCCTTATGTGCGAGTGGCTTAACACACTTCAATTCATCTAAAGGTTTTAATTCAATCCTTGCACTCTGATTTCTCTCTGAAGAATTCAGAGAGACTCCTGACTTACTGACTCCCAAGATCTCCCAAGCACAGAATGAAGCCTATATGATGAGGTTATTTGTTTTCAAGGATGCTTGTTTTAGCTCCCCTCTAGCGTGTGGGGAATCAAACCTTTGGGCTGGAGGACTTGCTGCTAACCAGGGATGAGCAGGGAGCCCTCAGGCTCTGTCTCTGCAGGCAGTGACGAGGCTTTTCCACATGTGTTCAGCCATCGGTGGCAAATGCGTGCAGGGCACCAGGGCTCACCCAGGTGCAGGGGAAAGGGCAGGTAGGGCAGTGTGGGTTGGGGCAGAGCCCTTGTTGAGAGGCGTGGCAGAACAAGGGAGCAGCCAGCGAGGCATCTGTGTAGGCTGTAGTCTGGGGAGGGGACTGAGCTGGGCCAGAGAGAGGACAGGGAGCTGTCCTGAGTGCTGTGCATCCGGTGTGCTGCGTGAGCCTGTGCACCGTGGGCGTCATGTCTGCCCTGCCTAACCCCTGTCTCCTTCCCATCTGCAGTCTGTGAGTCCTGCCAGGAGTACTTCGTGGATGAGTGTCCAAACCATGGCCCCCCAGTGTTCGTGTCAGACACGCCGGTGCCCGTTGGCATTCCGGACCGGGCGGCGCTGACCATCCCGCCTGGAATGGAGGTGGTTAAAGAGCCCAGTGGGGAGAACGACGTGCGCTGTATGAACGAGGTGATCCCCAAAGGTCACATCTTTGGGCCATATGAGGGGCAGATCTCTAGCCAGGACAGGTCTGCAGGATTCTTCTCGTGGCTGGTGAGTGACAAGTTTCCCCAACTAAGTGACACCTCAGCCATGCAGCTCAGAGCTGGGGGAGCCACGGGCTTGTGGAACCAAACCTTAACCATCTTCCCCCTTCTCTGAAGGTCTTCTGCTGGCCACACGGGCACTACATCAGCATCGACCTGCCATAAATATTAGGTAGCAGCTGAAGGGTATTGATAAATGATGTAGAGATTGCAGAGCTCTCTCATGGACCTCTAGCACTCCCTCCCAGCCTGCCTGAGCTGGTGGCTAAGAGGCTAGAAAAGAGATCTAGTCATTCAGGAACTGATCTACATGCAGATTCCAGCACCAAAACTTTTTTGCCCTCATACTACACGACTTAGTTAGCATATGAGATAGAGAGATAACTGGATCAACACATGTTAATTATTATGAGAATTGCAATGTAGGACTTGAGTCATTATTAGGGAAAAAATTGAGAGCTGCTGATATGAAATACTCCTCACACTTTTCTCTCTGTAAAATGAATGTGTGTCTCAGCCCTGTCCCAAAAGGGAAGTTAATCTTTTAAATCCTTGGATTGTTAATGATTTTGTCAGCTGCATCCACAGTTAGAGATATTTGTACATAGAAAAATGCCTCTCAGTCAGTTCAGAGTAGTCTCTATGCACTCCAGGTCAGCAGCCTGTCGTACTGGGAGAGCAGAGATTCACAGCATAGAGTTTCACACCATGACTTAAGACCAGAACTGAAGCAGTGATTTGAGATTCATAGACCTTCTCCTGCCTGGACCAGCTGGTTGACTGTGCTGCATCCCTTCTCGTTCCACAGATCGTTGATAAGAACAACCGCTACAAATCCATTGATGGGACAGATGAAACCAAAGCAAACTGGATGAGGTGAGTCCTGTTCTCTTCTGCCTTCCCTCTTGGGATTCTGTCTTCCAGAGAGAGGCCATCAAATACTCCTTATTGTTTGGTGTGTTGGAAAACCAAACCAAAATGTCACCACCCATTTTGCAAATGCTGTGCTTGTACTCTTTCAGTATTTATTGTAATATGAGTATCTTTGATGTCAGATTCAAAGAAAGGGTCTAAAAAAAGACAAGGATATGTACATATAGGATTGCTATTTTCTGGAATGAGGATAAATATTAAAGATGATCCTATTTATCCACTCTTACGAGCACTGACAGGTCTCACTCCATTCTTTTACTCATTTTTTTATGTTATGTTCAAATATTTGCGAAATGCTTTGCGTTACACCCGAGGTAACATTTGATTCTGTTTGGGTTTGTTTTTTTATTTTGTCCCTACTCATTTGACAGATACTAGAAGAGGTGCTTTTTTTTTTTTCCTTTCTTTCTGGGCTTCACTGTGGCCAGCTGTCGGTGCTGGCTGTCGGTGTGCAGTGTCAGCTGTGCTGTGCGAGGAGAAGGGCGAGCTGGGCGACCAAAGCCGAGCTGACGCCTGTGCTCGCACTCCCTCTGCCGGCCCTGCAGCACGGCTGGCTCTGCTCCGGGAGCTGCAGCACGAGGGGAGCCTGTGTGGCCACGGGGCAGTGTTCCAGTATTGGCATATATATATATACCTGTAAAACATAGGTTTTACGTTTTACCAAGGCCTCGTATGGGTGGCGAGTCACCAGAACAGGGCATTGCTGCACGGTGAGGCCAGTCCTGCTTCTGTGGGGAGCTTTGGAAACAGTTGTTATCAAGAAGGCATTTCCTACAAGAGTCAAGCAGTGTGGGATTACCTGGTTTGCTGACCTGGATGTCCAGGATTTTCAGTTGTCCCTCATTAAGGGGATAAAAAGCATGAAGTACAGGTAAATGCAAGATTAACCTAACTGGTCATATCTGGTTGCATCACTTTTGGCCATTTCAGCCTTCGCATGGATAGCAGCTGTTCTGACATTTATGTTCATAAAGTTCAGCAACGGATTTCGTTTTTCTGTAAGGATTCCAACTGTTAGAGTTGTTCACTGCTGGATGAGATAAAATGCTAGACCAGGGCTGAGACTGGAGTCATCACTTCAAAAAGAAGCAGTGGCACAGTGAAGAGGTAGGTAGGCAAACATACATCTAGAAGTAAAGAATGCAGAGTTCAAAAATCTACATAGATCTGGATCTTTGTGATCTGCATGACATTGAAGCTGGGGCAAAACACAGTCTTGGAAAGCAAAAATTCTATGATGAGCTCTTCTTCCTACTCCCATGAACATCAGCTTGATGTCTGGATTTAAATGGGCACTACTCGTGGTCCTAGCACCAAAGAGCAGGGTATTTTTGCCTAAACTTGTATTTGCCACGTTTCAGTCTCAGTGTGGGTGCGGTCTGGGCCATTGTGTGCAGCCTTGTAAGGCTTGGAGGTTATGGCTTTGTGCAAAGGGGATGTTTGTGACCCCTCATGGGAAGGGTGTATCAAAGGATCTCTGTAGGCTACACCAGTCTTACTGACCTTTCTGATTTTACTCTTGAAAAGTGCTTATAACCAGTAACATTATGTAGAGTCTGACTGACAGTTCAAGTGGCAATAGAAGTCCTCAAAAAGCCTTGATTTTGTTTGTTAGCACCTTTTAGACTAAGATGTGCTCAATATTCTGTGCTAGAACATCACCTGACCCCGAGATCACACACAGAAAGCACACTTGACTTCCAGGACGCTGTAGACAGCGCTCTTTTTGTTTTTCAGATGGTGCTCTTTGCTATCACTCACAGATGGAGTGCTTTGCAAAGCAGATCTACTCACCTTCTGGGTAGGTGGGTATGGCACGGGGAGGGCAGCTTGGGCTGACTCCTCTCTCTTCTCGTAGATCTGGCTATTGTTTTTGCTGTTTGAATACCACATCTGAGTCCATTTTCATGTTGCCTGAGGACGCTATGTACGCTGCAGCACTTGCCGGTTTAATTGCAAGTGCCTATTTACCCTAGGCAGTGGATGACAGGGAGGAAGGAGTAACAAGTGCAGCAGATGGCATGGCAATGATAACATCCTCTTGCCCTTCCCCTCATCAATTAGTCAGTCAAGACAAACTCCTGAAGCTGGGAGCGTGTTCTCCTAAGCTGGCTGCTGGCACCCTTCTTCTCTGTCCAGAGTAAAGCCCTGCTGTTTGCAGTACTTCATGAAACTCCATGACTTCAACATATGCAAACATCTTCCTCTATTATTATATTTCTGGGGGCTGATAACCACGGATTGCAGCAAGCAAAATTAATGCTTTCTTGGACACAAACTGTAAATTGCTGCTCATGGCAGTTCTTAGGGCTTCTGAGGGGTCGCAGAGGACCATCCATTTTCCTGGTAGCTTCTGAGGAAATTCTCTTGTTCAGCTGTTGGTGTCCTCTAAAAATAATGGATCTGACAGAAAACCAAAAGTAATTCAGAAAGTCCATCCTTCTGTGTATATACCACTTGGCCCAGAATGAGATGTAGGATAGAAACTGGTGGTGCCTAACTGAACTGTTGAAGTGTAGTGCCTCATGTTTGGGGTTTCCAGGATATTTTGAGCATTTATAGTCTGTAGCCCTTCTTACATATAACTACCTGAATTCTTAAGCTTTTGGCACAGTATAAATTCATCCTTTGCCTTAGCCAGTGTGAAAAGGCTGAGCAAGACTTTCTCATTGCTTTCTACTTTGCCTTACTTCCTGCCCCTTTTCCTTTCCAAACATAGTAACAGAGATCATGGGGAGCCAGACTGTCCTGTAAATCTTGCTGTATCTCCTTACAATGGAGGCATCTCTGATTTGACTTTCATACAATAATAGAGCTTTGAAGGGAGCTCTGGTCAAGTGTTCCAATAGGACCAGCTTTGACTAGTAGAAGTTTTAAGTACAGAGCTGCTGTTTCAGCTTTACAGTTTACAGCTTTCTAAAAGTAAGCATTTAAAAACAGTCAGTGTTACAGTGACTGCCTTTGTGTTCAGGGTGAGTAAAAGCCACCAGCCTATGAATGTCTGAATGTCATTTTGTTGAACATCATAAACTGATTTCTGCTGCCTTGAAGCAAGTGGAGCAAATGTTCTTACGTGTTACTGAGTCAAATTTATGCAGAGTGAAGGGATCCTAAATTACTGGGGGACTGTAATCCTTGCAAAAAAAAAGCCAAACCAAAAACTACTGCAAAGCCCTGGGAAAAATTACATGCTTGTTTCTTAGAGGCCAAGTAAAGTGGACTTGATTGATATTTTTGTGGGTTAATCATTAAGTGCCCACTCTTCAATGTGTCTTGCACTTTCAGATTGACCTGGGCTGAGGTGTGAATTCACAACCTCACAGCTGGGGCTGCTCTGGAGCCTGCTAAAACCCTCATGGCATCACCAGAGAGGTACTTGTAAATATCAGTGACTGCCTCTAGGGACATATGGCATGCTAGAGGAGAAAAAGATCCCTCTGATGTAATACTGTCTGCATTTTTATAAGGAGGAGATTGATGTGCCTGCTAGGAACCTAATGTTAATTGAATTTGTGATTAAAACTGGCCAGAGCTCATTACTCAACGTGTGGCAAGTTTGCTATTGGAATATGTAAATTATATTGTTTTGACCCAAGTCGTGCTGGAGCATATGAGTGGAAGCACTGAAATCTGAATATCCAGGCCTACCATAAGCTGTCCTAAGTGCACTTGATGGGATATCCTGTCTGGGAAGAGCAAACAGGGCTGTAATTCCCCCTTGGTGCAGCTTTGCTGGTGACAGCAGCTGTGAGTTTGGCAGAGAAGAGGGGGTACCAGGTTTTGTGACCCCGTGGCTCCAGAGAGCGCAGTTCTGTTCTGCAAATTCACCCCTGCCCACAGCACTTTGCCGAATACTGTTACTGTTTTTCGCCAGAGCAGCTTGTCAGTGGAGGTTTGTTGCCACCTCATGGAGGCACCAATGACACTGTGCAGTCATGTGTACCTGATGAGGAGATACACCAAGCCCAGTTCTGCTGAATGCAGAATGATAGAAGTAGCAAACTGTAAATGTTCCCTTGCTCAATGTTTTGTGTAGCCTTTTCCCTTCTTCTTGTGTTCAGCTGGGAGAGCTCCTTTTTCCTTTTAAGTTTGGTGAGATTTTTTGTTGGGGTTTTTTTGAGATTCAGGGTACCAGATGCTTTGCTGGCTCTCCATCATTTCATTACCATCCTCTCTAAACGCTCCTTCCTTCTCTCTATAAATGAAGCTCCACCAAGACAGTATCTCAGGCATTCATTTATGTTTGTTCCCATGAAATGCATCTGTGCACTTAGGTCCCAGCTCTCCCTGATGTGGCCTGGATTTGAGCAGCTTCTCCTACTGGTTTTCCAGCTTTAACCAAACTGACACTTGCCCTGATGGTAGGCAGCAGTGTCAGTGAGATTGATTAAACAACAGTGTTAATGGCACTAGGAAGGAACTAGAATGACATGGATCAGTGCCTCTCTGTAGGTTCAGGCAGTCTGTTTTCTCCTTCCTAATTGAATAGATCTATTGCCTTTTTTTTTTCCCCAAGAACAAAACATAGTTAGGACTAACGTTTTGTTTATTTTTATAGTTTTCTTTGATAGTGGCTGGAGAAATTAATACACACCCCCTTTGGAGAAAACTGCTTGTTCTCAGGATGGCTGCCTCTTTTTCTCAGTGGGCTGAGGCTACAGGTTGTTCGTTTGAAGCACCAGAAACTGGGTGCAGGCTCATATCGGTGGCAGAGACAGAAAGCCTAGCCAGGAAAAACAAGTGGGTGGCCTCATTCCTTTTGAAAACAATGGGAAATGGCAGCCATTTCTGGGTGAAACAAGAACTTGCTGTGAAGCAGACAAATGCTGGATGTAGAGTATCCCAATGCTGAAAAAAGAGATCTTTCCTTAGGGAAAGCCAGTTGCAGAAATTACCCACCACTTTAGTCAAAACCTACCTACCCTAAAAAAAAATCTAATTTG